CCGTTGCTTGGTAGCGGCATTCAACGGCGGACGTTCCTCTTCCTCTGGGTTGCGAACTATCATCGACCTCAGCTGCCAGCTTCTCACAGTAACTGAAAACGACTGTTACGACTGACGGTCAGCATCATGACTCACACCGGTGTGCGGCGGTTTTCATGATCTAATTCGTTTCAACTGTGCTCCTTTCTTTGCTTCATGTCTCAGACATTGTGTTTTGACGCATGCCGGTGTGCGGCCTACTGGACTTATACAAATCTGAATGAATTCTGGGTTAATTGATGCTTTAAGTACTCTGTGGGACGGTTATCTCAGCATGGAGGGCCAAACAGTGACGTAGTAAGGGCACACGCCTAAAAGTAAGCAAGGAATAAATATACACACACGAAGTCCGATAATGGGAAAGTGCAAAATTATATTATTTCAAATTATTTATGACAGTTTCTGGGATTAGATTTATTATTTCCAGAAACAAAAAAAGAAAATGTTACCTGTTCTGTTTTCCCCGCAAGGCAAGGACTGAATCTCAAAGTGCTGACAAATTAACCTTCCTTTGTCTTTCCCAAAGAGCTACACAGGAGTAAAGTGGGACATTTTCAGTGACGCTATACAAAAGCTGTACTTCATAAATTTCAATTCTCCTTCTCTTTAATCATAACTTATCTCCCCCCTCTCCTCCCCCCGCCCATACCCCCACCTTAACTAACCCCACTCGTACCTCTCATTATTTCCAGTTTACATTGCTGTTTGCGGGAACAAAAGCAGGTCGAAACAGATGAAGGGCGAGCGAATGCTCACTAGGAAACTGAAAGTGGACTTTGTCCTCGTTACGGACCGACTCACCTGGCACTCAACTCACATGCTTGCTTACTTACTTGGGCCGCGCCACTGTTCAAGCGGTTAGTCGCTGGCTTTCAACCGCGGCGGCCCGGGGTCGATCCCGGGTCTGGGCAAGTGGGATTTGTGGTGCACAAAGTGGCCCTAGGGAAGGTTTTCTCCGAGTACTTCGGTTTCCCCTTCCCATCTTCATTCCACCAATTGCTCCACAATCACCCTCACCTATTATCTGGGGCTGGTACAATAGGCTAGAAGTAGCCGCAGTAGAAGGGACTTAGTCCCACGCCACTAGCAATAAAGAAAAATGACTTATTTCTGTTTTGTCCTCCAGGCGCGTTGGCTAAAGCCGTAACGCTTCTCACTTGGATTTCAGACGTGCTGGCTTCGAATCTCGGCCGGGACAGCGACTATACAAACATGTATATCGTGGTTTTCCGCAGTCACTTCGGACAGTTCCGGGGATAGTACCCTAAAGTAGACCACTGCCGTTCCCTCCCACGCGTGACGTTTTTATTTAGTTTAAATTTCGGAAAGTGGGATGTCTGTTAAATTCGGACAAATGTTTGCTCGTGAGGGGGAATATGACAGTAGTAGGAAGGAAAGGGAAGGACCCCAGAAATTGTATCCGTGAACATTCCTTCCTCGATATCCATCTGAAGAGAAAGAAAATGTGATGCACTGACTTATACCCTATGCACTTGATCACCGTCGTGAAATAACTTATAATTCGAGTAATTTGTGAACTGGAGAAGGACCATAACAGTGTTTACACGTTTCTTCGAATACATGATTCCAGAATGCTGATTTAAATGGCGCTAGTGTCGATCCGACCTCAGAAGTTTGCATTACTGTTGTCTTGATGCTATCGGTGTAGGAGCTAATTTCCACGGCGTATTTATTGTCCATGCAGTGCGGACTGACAGGAAGTTAATAGTCCCTCGTCTAATCGAGACTCCCCNCTTTTGTGAATCGCAAAGGTTCTTTGCCGTTTTCACAGCATTCGCCAGAAGGTCAAGACGGGAATGATCCCCCCACTGGACACTTAATGAATTATGCACAGACGTAAAATGCTCATAACATAACAAACATACGGGTTGCTGGGTGGTAATGTTAGCGTCTTGAATGCGAGACTGTCTTCGATGTTAAGTAAGGCAGCGTCTACACGAGCGCACAAAATGCGTCCGTTGTAACGAACGTACTTTGCTGAGGACACCACACAGTTGCAGAATGCGGTGCGTAGTTTTTTGTCTGCAATGAAACTACGCACCGCATTCTGCAACTGTGTGGTGTTCTCAGCAAAGTACGTTAGTTACAACGGACGCGTTTTGTGCGCTCGTGTAGACGCTGCCTTAGAGTGGAGTGGAATGGAATTTTGTCAGTATTTCTGTCTGATCGTGTTAAGTAGCTCAGTCGGTATAGCTATTGGCTGGATGGCCGAGGAATTTGGGTTCCATTCTCGGCATGGAAAAGTGATTTTTTCCCCGGTGGTAAGGCGGCGGCGACGTGAAGCTGATCTCTCCATCAAGGACTGAGGTTAGAAATGTTGGAACTATACCCCCACTCCGTCATACGTTTTTATGAGGCAGTTCACAATTAGTTAAGCTTAGGAATAATTTCACTCTTTTTGTTCGGTGTGATGTAACAGGGAGTAACTGGTATCTTTAGGGATCTGTGACGTCATATAGTGGGAACGAAATGCAGCAGCACTGAATACGGCCGTATAGAGTACAAGTACAAGTGGGGGCAAGTGAGTGAGGGCGGTTGCGTGTGGCTAGCGAAAAGGTTCATCTGTCGGGTTGGTATTTCGCAGTTCCTATTGCTTGAATGTTGGCGGTTCCTGCTGAAGCTCAGATACGTTGGCGACCACCTCTAACTGNTCCCCCCCCCCGCCGGTGCACACGCTCACATGGAATTGGAAATTATGAAGATAGACCAACATTCAGTGGCATGAATTTATTTTTTTATGTGTCGCGTATATGAGTGTCTCTCGACGGGGTTTTGGGTTGGCTTTATTGACCACTGTAACACGACTCGTGTCTACACTTAATTATAGCGCCGTCGCTAATTTCCGATCTTTAGTATACGCTAAGTCTTTTCCAGCCTGCAGTGTCTTTACTAGTAGTTGCCTGATAACAGCTTCTAACAATGGCTGCTTCCGAGCTCAAGTCCTCTCTAAATGGCGGCTCCCTTTCAACTTTCAAGTCAAAGTCACATTGCGACTGACGGTCAGTTATTGCTCGAGTTCTCCTTATAATCCCTCGGCACGGACCACCACAGAAAACACCGTTTCCAACAGTACCTTCACTGTTGCACGTTGAGTCGTTGCTATGGAGATGTTTTTGCGATTGTTACCTAGTAACGGGTCTACATGCAGCAGTATGTATAACGTTTTGTAAGCGTGAGATTTCTCGCTGCCATTTCTCAGTTTCGCGTTAATAGCGAATTGCCGAGCATAAATACGTTGCTTGAACTTAAGTTGCGTCACGTACGAGTGAGTAGTCCTCTGTCAGTTTCCTTTCTATAAGTACTGATAATGTTTTGATGCGTACGCGTGAAGTGCGGTGTGCTATATAAAGCAGACGGTTTACGATTCACTATTAGTGCGTGTTATTCGCTGGAGATGGCGTTAGACTCGACCTTGTCGTATCATTCGATAACACATAAGACTAGAAAAGTACACGGGAGAAAACAGTGGAAGGCAGTAAGATTTCATTGCGAATGTTTGCTTACGTTATATTGGAATGGATATTCCCTAAAAGTAACAACAAACTAAAAAAAAAGTATATATACCAGATTTTATGCTATGAACTGTGTAAAGGTGGAAAGGAAAGCATTTTTAGAGGATTATAAAATAAAATTATCGTGGATTGTTCTGTATATTGTAACTGGTGTATGCTTTTGTTCACGTCCGTCTGTTTTTGGCTCATTTCGTCTTTTCCTACTGCCACAATTTTCTGTGCCCATCTTCTTTGTCTGCAGTATCTTGCTTCCAGCAATGGATCAATGACGTAGACTCCTCTCTCTCTTGTTTCATCCCCCCTCCCCCACCCCCCAAAAAAGCCCAACCCTTCCTCATACCCTCGAAGCCCGCCGGGTTTTATTAGGAAATTCCAGGCTTGGTGGAATGTGCCTCTCACTGCTGCTATGACTTCGGTTCTCTCTCTCTCACTCTACTGTCGTATGTGTGTGTGTGTGTGTGTGTGTGTGTGTGTGGGAGGGGGGGAAATTGATTCGTAATGGCGCTTTGGGATGGGCCCCTTATTGCCCCGTAATCTTTATGTAGGTATTGTCGGAACACATACTGCGTGTATAAGTTACTATGGCTGAACACGCTGTATTCAGCTCAGTGTTGCCCACCACCCGCCCCCCACACTGTCATATCAGCTGTTCCAAAAACATCGACATTTTCTTACATACACGGTTTTGGAAAGGGGAAGAATTAAGCACTCGGTTGACAGTGAATGTTGAACTTGAAAGAGTGTGGAAAGAGACGGTCCTGGCCGAATTTAAGGTACTGTTCAGGTATTTGCTGGAGGGATTGAGGAAAATCACGGAGAACCTTAGCCAGGACAGTCGGTGTTACGGCCGGACAGATGCGAGCAGCATTATCGATTGAGGCAAGCTTGTGAGTGAAGTTTTCAAACGGGCTGTAAAATGTACTGCTTATATTCATGCCTTGGTTCTTAGTTAAAACCGGCGGCAGTTTTACCACTCTGTATTTGCTGGCGATGCATTTTGTTTGTGGGTGTAACGATGCAGTTACTAGGCCACACTGTGTGCCAGTGAAAAAGGAGATCCACGAAAACGTATAGTTCGTGCCCCGGATGATATTTTAACCCATGACCAGTCCTGGTACTGCGTGTTGGACGTTTCGGTATATCATGCTCTTAGCACTGGAAGTGGTTCCGAGGTGATATGGTCAAATTACTTGCTTTAACATTCATTCCAATTTCTTGTTCACTGAACGTCGTACAGATATACATATATTGCATACTCTGAGATACTTAGTGTTTAGTGAATGATATCATGACTTTCTACCCCAAACGACGAGAGATGACAGGCTTATTCACGGGAACTTGATGTCGTTACTGGAAATTATTATGATGTGTCATTGTGTTGTGTGAGTCCTGCTCTTTAATAGAGGGTGTTCCTGTGTGTTCCCCCAGGAGAAAGCGACGTAATTTCAGCAAGCAGGCGTCAGAGATCCTGAATGAATACTTCTACTCCCACCTCAGTAACCCCTACCCATCGGAAGAGGCAAAGGAAGAACTGGCCAGGAAGTGTGGGATCACTGTATCACAGGTAAGCTTCACTTCCGTCCTGCGTGTGCGAGCAGTGCAGAGCCGTTGGTGTATCAAAGGTTGCTCGATTAATTCTTATTACCCGTTTATATAGTAAAGTAAAAAAAAAAAAACTAAAGTAAAACTATCCCTGTACCAGGCCATGAAGGCCCATAGGGTTGTGAGACGTTGAGGCTCCCACATTATCTAGACAATTGGCTCAAAGATGGCGGTAAGGTTGTCAGCCTTACGCGCCGGCCGCGCTTTAATCCCCAGGAAGATTATTTAATTAGTAAGCCAGAAAATGTAAGAAAACTGAGGGGGGGGGGCAGATGGACTTTACTGGAAGACATAGAGAATGACAAATAGTGTCTTCTGGGATGTGACACTGTGTGGTCTGTTAGAAGTTTTTTTTCCACCCTAAATTTCAGAGAAAGTACTTCCTCAATTCTCAGAGTCGAAGAGTAAGCGAAGCAAGCAGGCTTACTCTTCCACCATGAAGATAAAGGTGTTTCTCCAAAGCGTCATTACGTCTCTACTAGTCTACACAGTGTCACACCCTCCCATAAGACAATAGTAATATTCTTCTCTTAGTATATTTATGTGATGTTGTTATTTACATTGTTGAAACGCCAATAATAATTCTTTTATGTGATAACAGTAAAAGTTACTTTTACTAATGCCAGACGGAGCCAGGATAACGTAGTCGGTGTAGCGACTGACTACGGGTTGGATGACCGAGGGGCCGGAGTTCGAGTCGCGGTATGGTCAAGAATTTTCTCTTCTCCACGTTGTCCTGACAGGCTCAGGGGCCTATCCAATGGGTAAATGGGGCTCTTTACCTTGGGGTAAAGCGACCGGTGGTGAACCTGACGACTCACCTCTAGCTAGTGCCGAGTTCAAGAAAATGTGGATCTATACATCCACTCCCCCATACGGCTTCATGGCGTAGTGCTTAATTAGTTAAGCACAGGGACAACTTTTTACTAATCCCAAACATCAAATAAATCCAGCCTACAGGAACTGTTGCCGGTCACGGTAGCCGAGCGGTCTAAGGCATGTACTGTCTTCGCTCGCTTGGAAACCAGGATCGTGGGTTCAAATCCCACTCAGGGCATGGATGTTTAGTTTGTGTGTGTGCGTTTTTCTGTGTTTGTGTACAGGTAGAGGCCTTGCGACGAGCTGATCACCCGTCCAAGGAGCCCTACCGAATGTGTAAGATCTAGAAAAACCGAAGTGAACGGAGAAGTTCATGGAGGTAGGCCTAGGCCCACTGGGGCTGTAGTTCCAAGGAAAAACAAACAAAAAAAAAACACAAGAGCTGTTAATCTTAAACGAAATATCTCACACGTGACGTGGAATAGTTTAATGATGCTCTATCAGCTGCAAAATTTATACGTGTATAACGTCAGTAGATATGGAAGGACGGTTTGCGAATGCTGACATAGACATGGTGGCAGAAATAAATCATTGTCCCAGTAGGACTTGAGCCCCTGATCATGTGGCCCAGAGTCTAGTTACCTGATTGAATGAGCTATCGTAGAAATGTCAAGACAGCACCAGTTTAACAAAGAGAGGGCAGTCAGATAAGAGAAGTAAAAATTATCCCTGTAACAGCCCAAGAAAGCCCATAGGGTTGTGAGATGTTGAGGGTCCCACATTTTCTAGACAGTCGGCCCATAGATGGCGGCAAGGTTGTCAGCCTTACGCGCTGGCCCCCCCTTTACCCCAAAGAATATTCCTGGTACTCATTTCTGTTAGAGGCTGAGTCGACGCCAGGGCCATAGTGCGGCTGGAAGGATTAGGTCAATTGAAAAAATCCACCTCATCGGGATTGGATCCCGCATAGTGCCTCAACCAACTACGCTACCGCGTGTCGCACAGAGCAATCAGATGGTCGAACAAATCCCACTGCTCCTGCTGAATTTCTTGAACCGCTGTGCAGAAACATATTTGGATTGAGAATATCGAGGAATGGCGGTGCGCCGCAGCCTATTAGTTGAAACTTACTGCCTGGGGTTCATAATCTAAAAGCAGTTTTCATTGTCACTAGCGCAGTCACCCTTTTTAACCTTTTCAGATGTAAAACAAAACCAAACAGCTCAATGTAAATATTTAACTCCTTTAATCTTTGCCTGACAGAAGCCATGTTCAAAGTATGAGACTTTCACCCCTCCATCCCTCTTTTTTCCACCCCAGGATCATTATGATGATCCAGCTTTTCATTATAGGCTCTCAGGAGTGTAGCCATTTTTAAAAAGATTTCAGGATTCTTTTCCCAAGATTGTTAGGGATCCATCTTCTTTCTGGGGCTATCTTAATGGCTACAGGAGGGATGTAAGTAGGGTACTCGTAGACTGGGGGTGAGAAGAGAGTTTTAATCAAACTGCAAGATGGAATAGAAGCCTAAAGAAAGATGTACAGCAATTACAAGAATTTATTTGAATGTAAAGATTTTCAGCTGTGAGTTTCATATTTAGTTCATGTGGATGAAACTAAACTAATATAAATATTTTGAAATTTACTCCCAAAGAATTCCACACGTTGTTAGCTTTGCTTTCATTGCATCTACTTAAAGGCGTAATCATATTTAATGGATATTAGGCTCTTTATCTCATTTACCGAGTCATTAAGGGTAGTCAGATATTGTTAAAAGTTGAAGATATGCAGTGTTTATGGCTTCTGCAGAATTATCTGTTTGAAACTATACCCAAATAGAAAATATTGTATATTATGTTCAGTGACCTGCAAAATATAATGATTTTGGTAAGATTTTAAGCTATCATGAGGAATAAATGTGCTGAAACCTTCTTGGTCACTCGGCCATGTCAAAGTTGAGTTAAAAAACCGTTTCAGAGATTCCTTTTTATCTCCATGATCAGGGTTGATGTGATGCACAGCCATACATTGCTTATAATAGGTACACAGCGTTGTGTCATAATGACATATTGGCGGCATACCATTATTCACCACATCAACCCTGACAATGGAGATAGAAGAGATCACTGAAATGATTTCTTTTAACTGAACATTGACATGGCAAGAGGATTTCAGCACATTTATTCCCCATGAATAACTAAATATACAACTTCAATGAATGTTTGCCCGAAAGGCCTGAAGGAAATGGTGTCTGCTGTATGGAATTAATGAGAGGAAGCAGTCCTTCTTATCAGGCACAGTGAAAAGAAGATGTATGTGTCGTTTGTGACTTAGAGTAATGTAGGGGAAGGATTATCAGCATCTCATGAGCTATGGTAATTTAGTGGAAGGATTATCAGCATCTCATGGTCTTTGGTAATTTAGGGAAGGATTGTAAGCATCTCGTGAGCTATAGTAATGTAGAGGTAGAATTAGCAACATCTCGTGGGCTATGGTAATTTAGGGGAAGGGTTATCAGCATCTCATGAGCTATGGTAATGTAGGGGAGAGATTAGCAGCATCTCATGAGCTATGGTAATTTTGGGGGAAGGATTATCAGCATCTCGTGGGCTATGGTGAAGAACTCTATTAAGCATGTGCTCGTCAGCTGTTGTTACTGTGTATGAAGCTTACTGTATTAATGGTGAATAATTCTTTCTTCCCACTAGTAGCATGTGCATCACCTGGATCAAGTTGGTGGATCTGCATTAAATTCCTTACAGAGCCACAGAGCAGAATTCCAAACAATGCCTACTCAGCAGGCCCTGTTATGTAATGCTAGTTATAGAGAGCGGCACAGATGCTTAGAACCACACATCTGCATGTGTTTCAGGTGTCAAATTGGTTTGGAAACAAGCGGATACGATACAAGAAGAACATAGGAAAGGCGCAAGAAGAAGCGAATCTGTATGCAGCAAAGAAGGCAGCAGGTAGGAACGGTAAACAAGGTAGGGGTTCCAAATATGGGGTGCCATAGTTCTTTGTCACGTGATATGCTGACATTGGGGTGCCTTGCAACAGTGGCACCATCTGACGGACTTTTTGGGAAGCAAGTTTCGTGTTGTGAACAAATTATCTGCAGATTTGGCTCTTCCTTCTGTGCGTGTTGATCACACCATTTTCTTGTTGCGTTGCGGGATTCATTTTGTTTCTTCCTTCTTGGTGGTAAAACAGAAAGGTTCACTGCCACTGACAAAATAAGTTACATTGGATGTGCATCTAACCGTCTTCAGTTTAGTCATCTTAACAATTGTTAGCCAGATTATGGTAACATAGAAGAGAAATGATGTCATAATTAATTCTGGTAGACTGATTCACAATCTCTGGATTCAACAATGTACCATCATGTCACAGTTTTCCATATTGAATTTCGACCCAAATGGGTGCATTTTTTCAATTTTCCCTAAAGATGTTATAATTTTGCATTGATAAGAGAAATTAATGTTCTGTTTAACGTAATTATTTCAGATTGCATAATAAACAACATGTGCATAAACTTGTCCTACATAGAAAAAAATGAGATAACTGAGATGTGGTGGGTGTCATACAACTTTTTGCCCATCATTTCTGTGGTCAGTGTATTCTTTTTAGTCAAAATCATCTAATTTTGTGGAGGTTATTTAAGAAAGTTGTTACGCGTTATCACACCTAAATTATTTACAGGACTGGGGGTTTTATTACGTTCGTATTCTTCTATGCGAAAACTTTATAGCTAATGTTTCAAATTTCTGACAGTCAAACAAAAATGTTCAGCACTGCTAACCCAACGAGTTTATTTCATGTAGTCACAATTCCAGAACTATTATAAATATAAGAGGGTACATCGTGATACAGAATGTTCTTCCAAATGTTGGGAGTGCTGCATCTTCGTACTCCATTTATGACTTAACCCATTTCTCTAGCATCAGTTTTAGTATTATCCTCATCTCTGAAATTTTTGAGTGCCCATGTTTCAGAAGAACAGCCCCACTGAAAGTCTGTAAACCTGTAGTTTTTCATACAGATGGACATGATAAGATCAGGTAGACAATCCTATTTTTATTAATTTTAAAAACAATTCTTATTTTATGAAATATAAATTTATTTCTGTCAGTTGGCATGTGATTTTAATAAGATTGCTGTAAACTTTTCAAAATTGGCAAATAAAAAAGTGATTTGCCTATTCGTGTTTAACCTCTAAAAATTTGTCTTATTATTTCAACCCAGTCTTCTCTCTTGCTGATAAGCTGCTCATATATATTGATTTTAACTGGTTTAGATGTTCAGTTGTTAAACCCCATTATTCAGATGTATATGTCAGTATACAAACCTCACAGTTATCTAACTAATGGAATTGTAAGGGGTGCGGTACACATTGATTTGTTGCTACATTGACAGGAGCAGGGAAGAGGGGGATTCCCAAGGAGTGCCACATCTCTGCGCTGTAGCTACAGTGGCCATGTAAACACACCCCTGTCAGCATTTAAAGTGAAGAGAGGTATGGCACCAGGGGAAGCTGGGGTAGTTGTATCTCATTACCAAACTCAGTTTAGATTAATTCAGGAAATAAGTGTAATGGATTTCTGAGATATCCACTTAATGGAGTGTTCTTATAGTCATAAAGTGGCTTAAACACCATAGAAAGATATCCTCACTCACGTTGACGAAGAATATTCTTTCTTGTTCCTTTCCCAGTGTGGACAGTGATGTTGAATATTGATATGCATTGTGAATATATGAATATAAGTCTATTTAAAAACTGGATGTAGATTTATCATTCATAAAAGCAAAGTAACTGCTGTGGGGCAAGTAGATTACGGGCATACTGCACAACTTGTGGAGTCAGGGTAGCTCAGTTAATACGGAAACTGGCCGCTAGATGGGCAGCGGTATTTCATTTGTAACAAGGCAGCAATTCATTTTTCTCAGCTGAATCCAAGCCATCTCTCGCCCTCATCCAGCCTCCTGTCCAGTGGATGCTGCATCTCTTTTCCAAGGGATAATTTGGACATAGCATGAAGCTGACCACTCTCCTCCATTCAGAGATAACTTTAAGAATGTATGGAGCTATACCTCCATTATTTCTTATTTTGGCGCTTAATTAAAAACAGGAACAGAATTCAGAGTTACTGGGTTTTTGGTCTTTTTCCGCCTACCAGTATTCTAGAAAATAGAAAACAAGACATTTCAGAAACTGTATCTGTTTCCGTCCTCGGGTGGGGTGGGGGAAGACACCTACTGAATTGGATCCATTAGAAAGAAATTCTGAGTGTTATACTCCATCGTCAGAACCCTTTAGAATCCACATGAACTGATTTCTTTACCTGTAGAGAAAACTTGGAATATGGATATACAAGTATGATAACAGAAGGCAGTTGCAGAAGTTCGAAATATAAACCCTTCCTCCTCCTCAGTTTTGTTTTTGCCCTGTGTTCTCAACATGGCAGTCGAATGATTAGCTCTCCAGCTTCATGTGCAGAAGTCCCAAGATCGACTCTCAGCCTGGAAATGGCATCATTTTGGCCGAGATTTTTCACGTTCGTTTTTTTCAGTCCCTGCATTCAGATGTAGGAATACTACCTTAAATTAGCCCAGCCTCTTTTTCCATATCATTTATGATCCTTTATTCACGGATTATTAGTCTTAGTGGGGGGTGGAGTCCAACCGGGTCCACTCGGCACAGCGGCCACTGATTGGTCTATTATACCTGCCCCAGGTGATTATGATGATGGAAAATTTGGTGGAATGAAGACTGGCAGGGGAAACCGAAGTACTCGGAGAAAACCCACCCCAGCGCCACTTTGTCCACCACAAATCCCACTTGACCAGACCCGGGATCGAACTCGGGCCGCCGTGGTGGGAAGCCGGTGACTAACCGCTTGAGCTATGGCGTGGCCAATTATTAGTCTTAGTTACGGAGAGCATTTATTAATAAATCATAAATAAACAATTTTTATTGTTCATTTACTTATTCTACATTCTCCATCTTTCTGTTTCATTGCTTCTTCATTTTTTTTCGAGATTCGAACCGCTTATCCTGTTCATAAATTAATACAGTCACACACGTAGTAAAGAATAACAGCGGCACACACACAGGAAGACTACACAGGATAACACCTCTACAGTGTGGAAACAAGAACTAGCCGCTGCAGCACTTTAGACATAGGGCGAGTAACCCTAACAATTTTAAATTTAAAATTAGAGAAAAAATTTTAAAGGATTTTAAAATTAGAACTAAAGATTTTATAGTGCTACTACAGGTACGTCAAAATTAACGTGTGTAAAATAATCTACATCCAGACAGATATAAACGAAGTAGATGTTGATAATAACAAGGAAAGCGTTTTAAATGTTAAATTTTGGGCTGAGTGCAGTGTGACAGCGACGTGAGTATTATACACCTGATGATGGCCGTGTGAGGCCGAAACATGTAGTGTAGGTGAACAAGATCAAGGACACATAATATATTGTTTGCACTTGGGACAGAATTTGTATCATATCATTTATCGTATGGAGTGCAACAGGATGCTTAAATGTAATATTGTAAACAGTGAGAGTCATTACCACAGATTATCTAAACTGAAGAAATTAACATCTAAATGATAGTTCCTACCTCACAGGAAACACTGGGTTTATATTAAAAGGACCATCTGGTTAATGATGTTTATTCTAAGATGCATATGAAGCACAGATATTTTCTCTATTAAAGTAAAAAGTAAAATTAAAGCTATCCCTGTAACAGGCTCTGAAGGCCCATAGGGTTGTGAGACGTTGAGGGTCCCACATTATCTAGACAGTTTGCTGAAAGATGGCTTTAAGGTTGTCAGCCCTACCTGCTGGCCGCTCTCTACTCCCCAGGAGAATTATTTATTAATTCCTGGTCCTCATTTCTGTTAGAGGCTGAGTCGACCCCAGGGCCATAGTGTGGATTGAAAAATTAGATCAGTTTAAAAAAAAATGCAGTGACCTCATCAGGACTTGAATCCGCGACCTTCTGGCTTGTAGCATAGCCCCTTAACCAACTACACCACCGCGTGCCCCAGATATTTTCACTACGCAACATGTATAGTTCGTGAATGCTGGAGCAGTTTGTACATATAGCTACAGGTGTACTTTAGAATGCCATTATTCTGACAGTTTTTGTTGTAGGTCTTCAATATGAAATTTTATAAAAGCCCGTTCAGTAGTTGAGAGATGAAATATGCAGGATGACAAATGGAATGACACCTCGTATATGCTTGGCTTCAAACACTTTTTTTTCAAGGCTTCGAACTCTTTTTTTTTTTCAAATCTATAAAAACCTGAGTGTTTTTAATAGGCAACAGCTTCATATCAGATATTTCTCGTGTCTAATAAGGGTAAAACTCCATCAGTTCCATCAAATAAACTGTATATTCACACTCTGTAGTAACAACTGACGCTGTCATACTAGAAAAATCTCTTGTTAATTAGGCAGACTGTCCAGTGTTGTATATAACTTTAGAACAGACAAATGAAAAGCAACACAGATTTCACATACTAAGTGAAAATATTGGGATGAACAGTGAAGTTATTGAGGAGGCTTTGTTGGAATTTATTTGCAGTTTATATAGCCTATATATAGCTTAGACTGGTCAGTTTTAAATGTTTCACTTCTGTTATTGGCATTTTCAATCCACAACTCAACTGGACTTGATCCACAGACACATGCAAATTTCCATTAGTAATACGCTGTTTGAAACAGTATTGATTCTTTGAACGCAGAGCTCTGTTTGTGACTTGACAAGAAGTTATCTTGTGCATTGTTCAGAGATATATTAATAAAGCAGGTCACTGTATAGTCCCCTTTTCTTTCAGTAAACAACATCCATTTTTATAACATCCAGTACTTCTCAGAATAGATCAATAAATGATGAAAACAATGATTATGCTTTGTTCTCATTGAATAAAATTCGTTATTGATGTTATATGCAGGTTTCCTGTTCTGATG